TATATATAATACATATAATTTATGATAATTATGTACTATAAATATATAAATTAAAACGAAAAGAAATTTGAAAAACAAAGTATCAATAATATTATAAATATTCTATAAATTGTTACTTAGTTGAAATTGTTATTTAGTTTTTCAAATATTCCAAGAATATAAAATATGAGATTTGTAAATTTCAATACTATATTGTTAACTCAAAATATTAAAAATAAAGATATTTTGAAATATACTATATTATATAATATACATATGCAAATAAATAATGAATCAATTTATTTAAATTTTATTATAGAGATTAAAGCTGGAAGTATAAATAATCAATATATATCTAATATTACAATTTCTACTTTGTGTTTTTAGATCGCAAGATAATTGTAATACTTTTTTAATTTTATAAAAAAAAAATAATTTGGAATACTGCTCAAAAAAATCTTTATTTTGTATTATTTTTTTAATTAAATTAAAATTTTAGATATTTTATATTTTTTAATGTTTAGAATTTAAAAATAGAGTTTAAAATAATTAATAATTTAATAATTTAATATAGTTAATATAGTTCTATTAAAATATTATTAAATTATTTATAAAATTATAATTATTACAATATTTATATTCAAAAATGATATATTATTCAATTTTATTAATCAACAATTAAAACTAATAATATCGATGAATAAATTCATGAACAAATAAATAAGTTAATAAAATTCATTTGAGTTTTATTAAATAAGTTAAATCGAATGTACGCTAATGTAAAATTAATGTAAACTAATTAAGTAAAAATGAATGTTTATCTGATATGAATATAAAAATGAATTTATCTGAAATATTTGGAAATGAAGTACAAATTAATGTAAACTAATTAAGTAAAAATGAATGTATTTACCTGAAGTATTTGGAAATGAAGTACAACGAAATACACTCAGAATAATTTTTAGAAAGATCAACTCTTATCCACGAGAGAATGAATTTTACTGTAATAATTGCGAGACCATCCCCTTTATATACCTTCTCTGAAAACCGTTATTCATTTACGGAATGTAAAATGACCGCATATCTATGCGTATTATATTAGTCACTTTATTAATGGCACGATTAAATAAGATTATTTATTTATATTTATATTTATTTTTTTTAATTTATGATAATAATTAAAAATGTTATAAATAAGTAAAGTGCCGATTCTAGAGATAAATAAATAAAATAATTGCATTAATATTTAATAATATTAATAATTAAATTGAATAAATAATATTAAAATAAATAAAAAAATTGACATAAAAATATCATCATGGTTTATTTATTGAATTGAAGTTTTTGTTAGACAAAGAAAAATAAAAATAAAATAAAATAAATATAATATAATAAAAATAAAAATAAATAAAAATAAATAAAATAAAAATAAAATAATAGAAATAAAATAATCTCCGTTACATCGGAAATTGTTCTTGCTTTATCTAAAGCAAAATTAAATTATTTTTTGAATTAGATAAGCTTCAATTGATTTTGTATACTAATTTTTATATTTGTTTTGGCTTTTAGAATTTTTAAAAATATTTTACAAATATATTAAAATCTTGTAAAAATTCTCTAAAAAATTTTTTTTTAAAATGTTCGATTGATTGATACTTGAAATTGTAATCTAAAATTTTTTCACATATTTTAATATTTCAATAATCAATAATATATTGTTATAAAGATATTATCTAGCTCAAAACAAAGTCAAATAATAACTTATTGAAAGATGTTATTCATTCATCATTTAAAAAAGAAATAATATATTACTAATTGTATAATTGATAAAATTTAAGATAAAAATAACTAAGAAATTTATAAAAAGAAAACAAAAAATAAGTTTCATTGGGCTCGTCCGGGATTTGAACCCGGGACCTCTCGCACCCGAAGCGAGAATCATACCCCTAGACCAACGAGCCATCTTGAAAACTTTTTTTATGTTAACCATCACCAAGCTCATGATTAAATAAATAAAATCAAATTATTAACACGTTAAAATTAACATTCATAAATAATAGTAATTCAAATTCCTATATAGTTATTATGAACGTTATTATCTTAAATAATTTGTATTATTTTAAATATCCTTAAAGTAGAGATAATACAATCTTACAATACAATAAAATACAATATATGTTAAATATTATTATTTTTGTATTTATATTATAGAAATAAGATGAAATAATCGACTAAAATAAGTATTTCGCTTGGTATATGAAATATATCATTATTATCGATTGGAGAACTTTATTCCTACTAGTATATTACTTATTTTTCATGATTTTTCACGATATTTGCGGTGAAAGGATTACTTTTCAATCTGGCTCGTTGGTCTAGGGGTATGATTCTCGCTTAGGGTGCGAGAGGTCCCGGGTTCAAATCCCGGACGAGCCCATATTTTTTTCGATTTTAAAATTTTTTTTCAGATCATCTGTATCGCTACCAATGTTCTCCAATTAAGCTTCGAAGAAACAAAATCTATAATAGATAGTAAATCTCTGAAAATTATAATATGAATATTAAGATATGTAAGTATAGGACACATATAAAAAAATATTGAAATATTGATAGAATATCGAAATGATAATTTTAAAATATAGAAATGAAATTTTTCAATAATATCCTTGAGTAAGTAGATAGAATAGATAAAAAAAATTTTTATTAATTTCTAAGAAAATTCATTAATTTCTATTCAGAAATATCAATTTTAAAATAAAATAAATTAAAGATTTAAAAAAAAATTATTTAAGTAATATAATAATATAATTATTAAATAATATTTCATTTTATATTAATAATATACATCTTGCAGATTTTAAGATGAATGATTCATTTAAGATATTGGAAAATTTTTTAATATAATTATATCTTTTATAAATTATTAATTTTAAAAATATATTTTATTTATATATTTTTATATAAAAAA